AAAAAAGTAAGTTGCACGAGAGCACATATTTATGTGTGTGGTAGGAGTTCCACCCTCTCTGAGGAAAGGAAACTGTCTAGAAGCGTACATTGTTTCCTGTTGTCAATGGTGAGCTAGTAGCGAGCAGGACGAGGATGGTTCTGGGTAGAGCAGGAAGGGAAACTTTTACTTTTTGCTTGTACTATTCTAAACTATCTAATTTTTTTCCTAATAAGCAAGTATTACTTTCATAATAAAAGAAAAAAATGTAAAGAAGGCCCTCTGTGAACTTAGAAAATAATGGAAGGTTTTTGTAACACAAAAATGAAATGGGTCAGGATCTGTTGGAGAATAAAGGGAAAGCAGATGATGATTAAGGAGCTAATGATTGCCAAAGGTCATCTATGGCTTCACGCTAATTACCAAGGCAAATTCACAAAGAACTTTAGCATTGGAGAGTGCACCTTGAAGGCTGAAGACCAAAAAGGAAACTCTTCATGATATTTCGGATAACTTGTCAAACCAATGTCTAAATACTTTGATACTCTCTCAACCCCATTCAGTGCCTGAAATCTTTGACACATTTTTCTGTTCATACAAAGCATGAGCAATACAAACGACGCCCAGTAGGCAGCTCAGGTAGGAAGAGAAGTCTCCCTCCCTACTCCAAACTTGGCTGCAGCAAACCATTCTATTCCCAGGACGCATGCGGGGTCGTCACTGACAGCTGTAGCCCTTTCTGCATGAAAATATCCTTCCTCTGATGTGGAGGCAGATTGCATTTGCCTGGCTAATCCAGCCATACACTGGAGAAATGAGAAAAGGCCCAAGCTACCCATATGCGCTATAGATTCCAAAAAGAGATGAGCCTTTTTGCCACTGCTTTTTCTGATAATGTCAACATGGCCATTATTGTTTCATTAGTTTTCTTTGCTCTAAGGCTAAAAGGAATTTCCGCTGAGTGAATATCTCTGCGATGCTTCAGACATCTCAGAGCACTTTTTGCAGAAGACATGACTGAATACTTTTTCTGAACTTTGTTGCACGGAAATGTGGTTTATTTGTTTTCTCCTGACTGCCCAATGCTTCCTGGTCTTATTATTTTGTTCTAGCTAGTTTCCTTTGGCTGTTAAAGCCATTGTTTGCACTTTCCCTAATAATAATGAAAGCTTATATTTATTAGGGCTTATTACGAGTGAGGCACAGTTTTAGTGTTTTACATAAATTAATTAATTTAATGCTCATTATAAGTCTATGAAGTCAATGAAGTAGGCAGCGCTTTTACCATTTGGCAGATGAGGAAACTAAAGACTGAAGTGGTTAAGGAGCTTGCCCAAGCAGTAGAGTTAGGATTCAAAGCTGATCAGTCTCACTCCAAAGCACACTTATTTACCCATGTGCTTCACTGCTTCACAACAAAGATGGCAGTCTATTATGTAGAAGGCAGCAGGACAGAAAAATCTATCTGCTCTCAGCAGTCTGGGTATTTCTTTCTTGTCCTTGACTCCTTCTCCTCACCAGGAAGTTCTCAATGCAGCTTCCTTGGAGGGACCTTTTACCCAGAACCCTCAGCTTCCCCATCAAGGTTCTAGCTCCTTCCCTATCAACTTGAGCCCATATTCATCTCTTCCTCTGCTAACAACTTTTGCCTTTGTTGGCAGCACCATACAATTAGCACATATTTTTAAATATCCTATTATCTAATTATCTGAAATACATAATTTAACGCGTTCTTACAATAATGCCTGCCTCCCTAAGCTCTGAGAGTATATCAGACACCTTTTAGGTTTTGCCTCATATTCTCCTAGCTCACCTTTTCATTCCACCTTTAGCTATGACAACCAGCTGTACCCAGGAATAACCAGACAGGGATCTTGTCTCAGCTGGACTATACATATTTTACACTTTTTAGCATGAGCTTCTCTGATAACCTGACTGGATATCTGCAGGAACCTATTTAGCACTCACACATATGCAAACCTAGACATTCAGAAGGATTAATGCCCTTTGGGACAACACTTGACTAATAAGGATGGAGACTGGTAGGCAGAGCTGCTTCTCTCTTTGCACCTCGGGGAGACAATTCTAAGACACATTTTAAATGGGCCACAGTGATGACCAGCTCGATAATGTCCATTTTTGTAGGTCTTCTTTATAAGAAAGTTTGAGGAAGAGGCATATGGATGGACCTATGAGGAAAAAGAACAGCGCTGATTCTCTAATAGTTAGAATATATGGGTCCAGGAATCAATGGGTAGAAATGGGATTGGTTGCTTTCATCATCATTCTCAGTGATCCACTTGTGAAATTTTTATTAAGGGCAATTTACCCTGATCACTATGAGGAACTAAGGTTCCTACTGTGCAATGGTGGTGGTAGGGCAGAGGGAATGTGTATAGGATCCAGGGATTCAGTAGGGCATCTTTTGGTGATACTTCATGCCTATAAATATGAACTGCAGCAACCTTAGTCCAAAGAGGCTAAAGCAAATCAGACCCCCTCGGGGATGTAGTTCTGAATCACCTCATTAGCTGAGGTATTGGCACAGAATGAGAGAAATCTTGAATGAGCAGTGGAAGACAAAGATAATAAATATCAATGACGGCCTTGGGACCAGTTGTAGGGGTGGGAAATGATGTTGATTACACTAACCTTCCTCTATTAAGTCTTGAAGGCTCTGTTAAGGAAAATAAGGCAGAGTAAGGGGATAAAAAATAGCGGGGTGGGGTGACTTTAAAAAGAATGGTCAAGGAAGCTTTCTCTGATTACGCGACATTTGGGCAGAAACCTAAGTGAAGTAAAGGAGCAAGTCATATGGGTACGTGGGGAAGAACATTCCAGAGAGAGAGAGTGGCAAGTCCAAGTTTCCAAAGAAGGCAGCTGCTTGGTGTGTTTGAGAAGGTAAGTATGGCCCAAGGGGAGTGAGCGAAGGAGAGAGTGTAAAGAATGTGATCAGGGAGGTAACAAGCTCAGACCACAAAGGCCTTTGGAGCGAGGACTTTGGATTTCATTCTGTGTGAGATAGAGAGCCATCAGCATATTTCGAGAAGATGACATAGCTTACATTAGATAGAGCTTCCAGGTGCTCTGTGAATTGGCTGTAGGGGGTTAAGAATGGTGCAGGGAGACCGGTTACAAGATTACTACAACAGAGTGTTTGAATTTCAGATGGGTTTTCTGGGTGCATAGAACAAAGGCGTGGGGTTGCCAAACCAATGTCTTGGATTAAGAGTGGTGTTACTGTTCTTCAGGGCTGACTTGAAGCTACTCTGGAGCAAAAGAAAAACCTAACTCTTCTACTTTTTACAAATCCTTCATAATGTATAACACAGCCCAGTGGGTCTAGTGGTGAAGGCTCAGAAAATGCCTATGATTTTGTGATTAAAACATCTGTTTAGACTTTGCCAAGAATTCATAGAAATCATGTCTCTCCATTGAAAAACATAAATGACATGTATTTTCCAAGATCAGGCCTATCATTTTAATATAGACACCCTTACCACATGCCAGAAGTTATGCTCCTTGCTACTTACCTATCTTCTCTTTTCATTCTCATAACACCCCCGGGGAGATGAGGATTCTGTGCAGGTTTACAGATAAAGAAACAGAGACATGGGATTGGGCAGGTAGGGGTTGAGTAACTTGCCAGTGGTCATTAGTAAGGGACAGAGCTCTGAATTTGAATCAACAGCAGATTCCAGAGCCCATTCAATGAAGACAACCCTGAACTACTTACCGTAGAGAACTCCGGAGAATGCCCACATTCTTTGGGGGCCTAATCTTATTTTGGGGGCCTGATCTTTCTGATTCTTCTCATTATGAAAAATAACTAAGATTACCGGGAAGAATGGATTTTTTTAATGTTCCATTTGTCTGGAAGACCATAATAAAGGTAGTAACTCTATTTATTTATTAAAATCTTTTCAATTAGAATGATCCTTTTGCTCTTGGAAAATCATTTGGCCCAATGACAAGAGTGGGTGACCATTTTAGTCTGAGCTCCTTTTATGATGTCTGTTGCAGTTATCCTGTGGAATGACTTTTTCCCCCAGAAAGTCATAGTACTGCCTTATTTCTACTTAAAAAAAAAAAAAAGTCATTAGCATAGTTGCATCACAGAAGAGGGAAAACAAGAGATGTGTGACCTGTCCAGGAAATAGAGCATTTGCCCAACAGGAGCTCAGCTTTTTCCATGTGCTGGCTGTGAGCCTGTCCTCACGCTGAGGTGCAGCTCATTACTGTTCATAGTGACCAAGAAACAGGCTGGGCAAAGGGGAGGGGGCAGCGAAAGGCTCAGAGTACTCCCAACAAATTGGATCTTGGAAAGTCTGACACGGGGGCATCTATAAAGTTGCTCAGCAGCCACTTGCTTTTTACAATGAAACTGCAGGGATAAAAGAGGTCATTCTGGTAGACTGGAGCCCCTCTCAGTCTTTGCCAAAGAACAGAAGAGTCATGGGGTTGGTGGCCATGTATTGTGTAATGGGTGCAAAAGTCACAGACCCTCATTTGTCCAGCCTGTAAGTACCCAGTTTTGATGTTTTGTTGAATCTGGAGCTCTCCTAGAAGCATAATGAAGTGTCTGCAACTCATAAATCTTTCAAGGCTTAGACCCTGTAACTCCCTCTTACTCCTTTCCATGTCTATCTTCTGGTTGCCCTCACTGTTTACATTGATGAACTTCCGCCACTGGAGTTGGTGTGCCCTGCTTAAGTGGCATTTCAACATGGATGTCCCCAGGTACCTAGCATCCTTGCCTAGATTAACGTGTCAGTGGCATATGGCGCAAATGGCCTGTCGTTGGGTTTCAGGATCAGTTTAAAATATCTGCCAGGCTGCTGACTTCTTTGGCATAATGCCTTGTGGCCCCAGTGTTTGAGGGAGGAAAGCAACATTGTCTGAAAATTGTTTAGAATGAATTTTCTTGTCTAAGAGCCAGAATCTGACTTCCTGCCTTTCCTCATTTCTCTTTCTCTCTTTTTCCCTGAGCTAGAGAAATAAGCATACTTTCTGAGGCTGAGTACTTAGCTGTTTGAGAATAGCTTTAGTTGTATTGGTTTCATTTTTGGCCCTATATCTTGCTCTTTTTTTAAAGAGAAGTACCTAGCTCGTGCTTTTCAAACACTGTTACATTTGATCCTCTTAAAAGCTCCTGTATAGGTATTAGCTCCATTTTGCAAACAAGAAAACTGAGGCTCGGACGTTTTAAAATATTGCCAAAGCATATTACAGAGAAATGGCAGAATAACAAACAATTCAAACACAGGTCTGTCTGACCCACACAGTCCAGATTCTTTTCACTCTGTTAAGTCCATGCTTAGACAGTTGTCTGAACTGTGCCCACATCCAAGCATCTTTGGAGAGGGGGAGAATTTTTACTGCAGTTCAATGGGCAGAGCTCACAGCGGTCAGGTCTCCACAGGCGTTGTCAACGAGAGCTCCTGGACTGTCTTTGTACAAACTCCTCATCATGCTCTTCTCTCGGTGTGTTTAATGGTGGGTCATTGCTACTGTTTAGTTGCCTGATGAGTTTCTAGCTCCTAAATCCAAGTGATGAAGCAGATCCTGCTGTCCTTGGGATTATTCCCTCTTCATGAGTGGTGACCTCAGGATCGGAGACAGCTAACCTGCAGGCAGAGAGAGGGGGATGTCAAAGGTTCATCTAGCTCAATTTGGATTGATGAACCAGAATAATTCTGGCAGCAGGGCTCATGGAATTGGCCTCAACCAGCAATCTTTCTCAACTTCTGTGTTTGAGGTGGAGTATTTTGGTAAATTTTCACTTATACCGTATCTCTTCTACTGTAGGTGCTAGAAAACACTATCACCTAGTTTAGTAGTCACCACAAAACCAAACAATTATCATTGAATGGACTGCATTCACTGGCTACTCTTTCCTGCCTTTATGCTCTGCTTCGCAAGAGCTTTTCATTTAAAATGTCCCTCAGTTCTTTCTTCTGTCACTAAAATCTAATGCCTACTCCAAGGATCTGCTCAATTTATCTCCACCAAGAGACTCTCTCCAAATCCATCTACCCCACCGATGGCTTCTTCGTTCCAATTTTCTTACAATTAAAATAATAACAGCATTTCTTAGAAAGTATTTAATTATTTACTTGAATGAGTAATATATGGCCAAACATTTAAATGTATACGGAGTGTATAAATAAACTAAAAAATAAGTCGTCTCATTCCAGCTGTCCAGTTCCTGAGCCTTCCAGAGATGTCTTAATATACACATGTGCTTTTTTAAAAAGCCATGAGAATGATTAGTAACATATATTAGAGTTATATAAGAAATACCATGCTAAGCACTTTTGTATAGATTATTTCACTGAGTCCTCTCGGCAACTTTATGAGATCGGTACTTACACATATTTTACAAGTAAGGAAATAAAGGCTCAGAAAAGTTAAGTAACTTGCCCATGATCACACAGTTAAAATGTGGAAGAACTGGAATTTGACCTCAGGCTGTCTGACAAAATTAAAAGGTACTTGGAAAGAAAAGAAGCCTTGCGGTATAGATGAAAGAACATTCACTAGGGAATTAAATTCTGGCTATGAAACTTACTAGCTATGTGACTGTAGGTAAGTTTCCTAAACAATCTGAACCTCCAGTTTCCTTATCTGTAAGGTGGGAAAATGTTAACCTCAGAGAGAGGTCGAAGTATTATGAGAATTAGGGGAAAGAAAGAATGTAAAGCAACTGATACGTAAGAGGGATGTAGAAATGGTAGTTACTTTATCAAGAGCCATGCCTTTATAATATACATTTTCTGGCTTCAACTCCCCTGTGCAGAGCAAGAAGGACATACTTGTGTGATGTTTGGCATAATACAGATCTAGCCTTTTAGATGGCAGCAAAACACACACACACGGAGGTCCCTGAAAATAAACATAAAGCCACAGACTCTTGCACCTAATGTCTGTGGGGCTGGCTCAAAGTGAAGAGTTAGCCATTTGTTGGCTGCTCAGAGAAATGTGTGGAACAGTACAGAGACTGGCCTAAACGTTATGTGCATTGTAAACCTTCTCTGAGGTCAACGAGCAGAAATGGAGTGTGGAGAAAAAGAAAGACTGAGGAAGTATCCCTATGGCTTTTGGCTGGAACGTTCTTCCTCCAGATGCCCTCATGATAACTCCTTCACTTCCTTCCAGTCACTTCCTCAGGGGTTTTTCCTGACCAGCAAACTGGCCCCACCCCCACTTTATTTTAAATTTTTTCATAACATTTTTCACCACCTATCATATGCTATAATTATTATGCTTGTTGCATTTGTTTCCATTGTCTGACTCCTTCAGAATATAAGCTCTCTGAGGGTAAGGGTCTTTTGTTTTTCTCACTGATGTATCTTAAGCACTTACAATTCTGCTTGGTACATAGTAAGTACTCAATAAGTATTTGTTGGTGAAGACATTTTCCAGATAAGGAAACTGAGGTTAAGTGACTTAGTCTAGGTAAGTTTGCTGGTTAACAGCAGAGTCAAGACTAGAACTGTTTTTCTGCCTCCTAAACCAGTTGTCTTTCTTTTAAATCATTTTTCAGGATAGAGGAGTATATGTCTAGGATTAAGGAATGATTTGGCTGTTGAGGAATCCAGACAAAACTGGAAACAAGTGCATATAGACAAAACAACTGAACTATAAAAATGACAGCAGAAAAAGAAAAAAACATAGACGTGGGTGGTTATGTTGATTTTTTTTCAAAATTTTGTTTAAGTACCTGAGACTCTGCTGTCAGTTTATCTAGTGAAATAAGATTCATGATCAATGTGTGGAGACGGAAATTTCAGACCTCATTATACACAAACTGAAGATGATGTCTTTGCTGTCACTGTGGCATTTGACACGTCAGTGAAAACAAAAGGAGATCTGTCTCAGACGCCCCTTTTAGCTTTGACAGATGTGGAAATGCACGAGTTTGGGGCATTAATTTTTGGTTGGGTGTTAAATGTGAGCATGTCCAGAGATGCAGCTGGAGAAGCTACCAGATAGCTCACAGTTTAGGGCTGATGCACCAGTGGTACACTGAATTTCAATCCAGACACTTACTCCATCCCTGCTTCCTTCTCTTCTTTCGAAAGCAAAGGAGGCCCTCTGCCTTTTCCCAGGCTAATCTTCCACCTGATCTTCTGGTCCTGTCCATCCTCCCATCACCCATGCCCTCTTTCTTGAATCTTAAATCTATCTTTT